GTTGAAGGCTGTAAGGAAAGGGCTCTCAGTCAGAGCTTTTCGTCGTCTTTCCAGATCTTCTTGAAGGGTTTTGATCTTGTCCCGGACGACGCCTGACTTGTTGGCATAAAAGCAGCATCGTTCCTGTAAAGCTAAACAAATGCCTCCCTGCTCTGCTGTGAGTAAGTCTAGGCCTCGTCTATTCTGGAGGACTACCTCCGCTAGGGAGTCTAGTTGGTCTTGAGTGTCAGTAATAGTACTGGATAAGGCTTGGACATCATCGACAAGTTGTTTGGAAAGTTTTGTATAGGAGTGAACTGCAACTCCTAATCCTGCAGTTCTGGTAGCTACCGCTCCAGAAACTCCTAGACCAACAAGCAGGGGAATAATAGCTAAGGCTCTTTTGTGTCGTCCTGCGAAGTGGTCAAAAGCAGGAACGGGGACGGGTTCATCCCCTGGGATAATGTCTATGTCAGGTAGTAAGGCAGCTAGGGCACATAGCCCTGTCCAATTGGCGGGCAGGGCGGTGAAAGCTAGATTATTACCACAAACGAATGCTCGTCCCTGGACCAGGGCAGAGGGATGTGCTGTAATTAAGCGTGTGGCTACAATTGGTAAAGCTAAGCGAAACCAACAGAAATATCAAAAGAATTATTTTGTGATTTCTTATAGATGCAGGGGGAGGAGTAAAAAAGCATAGGCTGAACTCTAAAGGGTATGCTGAGGGTGCAATTTTGTTCGGTGATATTCAGGGCTGATATGTTGGTGGGGACAGCTAGAGGCATGGGGGTGCCTTGGCTTAAGCATAACCAGCAATCTTGGGCTAGTGTTGGGTTGGAAATATTTAGTGCCCGATGGGTGGCTGTCAAAATGTCTGTCGTTTGGGTATCTAGATCTATTCCTCGCGACTTGGGAAGAGCCAGAGGGTGATGGGTGAGTTTAGGGAATTGATTTTCAATGATTTTCAATGAGCTGTTCTATTTGGTTCTGGACGGTGAGTTCTCTTATGATATCTTGAGGCCCACCTCCATCAGAAGTGTGAATAGGAGGAGTTTGTTCCCAGCACACTGACTGTCCTACAGTGCCTTGGCAGCTGGCTTGTAAGTATTTGGTGGAACTAAGGCCAATGAGTGATGAGCTATCTCCCCAGTCTCCTACGTTGGCAGCATTTTTTGTTTTCTGGAGTATGGCAGTAAAATATGCCTTATTGCCAAGGGTACACTCTTGAACATTATTGTAGCAAGAAGAGTGCATTGTTGAATAAAAGGAGGTGCATGGGCATGGTCCTGGCTTTCCATTAATGGCAGGTATGATAGGAGGCTTAGGTACGCAGGACCATGTGGGTTTGGACATCCCCCCTGTTGCTGTGGGTGAATAAGCTAGGTAAGCTGTTTTTGTGTTGCAGTCTACTACCTGAGTATAAGACGAGGGGATGGCATGGTCGGTAGTAGTTCCTCCACAGCATTCACACGGTGGCCCAAAGAGGATGTGGTAAATATTGCCAGGCGGCGCTTGAAGCCCCCCATATGTTTTTAGGTGTAAGAGTGCTTGTAGTAACAGGAAGAAGAGCCACTGGGAGAACATGTTTTGCCTGAAATAGAAAGAGGAGAAAATCTCCTCAGGGCGTATTATTATTCCCTGGGATTTGATTAGGTTCAACTGGTGGGGCGGGGCGATGATTGACATGTTTTATTAGCCTTTCGGGGAGCCATCGTGGGCCATCTTCTTTTTGATCATAAATACAGGCTGAGCCTCTCCCCCATAGATTAACGGGCAAGTTAGGTAGTACATATGGGGTCACGAAGCCCTGGTTTCCTTCATTGTCTTCCCATTTAAGGGTTTTAGAGCTTTGTTGTGGATTGGTAGACTGTCCCATGCCACGCAAATGTGTGGCAGCTATGGTTAGGGGCCAATTTTGAGGCCATTGAGACTCAGAAATAACAGTGGCATCGGCTCCTGTGTCAATAATACCTGAAAAGGCTTTACCATTAATTCTGAGTTCGAGTAAGGGACGGCCCTCGGTAACCTGTTGCACCCAATATGCATCTGAAGAGCCGGGGGGGCTTGACCCTCGAAAAGGTTTTTGAAAATTGGAATTAAGATGTTGAAGGGGGAGGATGATTATTTGGGCTAACCTAGTTTCTTTGGGGATGGTAATTAAATCTGAAGTGGTGGAAAGGATAATTTGGATTTGTCCTTCAAAATCATTATCTATAATGCCAGGGAGGACTTGTATCCCTTGTAGGGTGGAACTGACTCGGCCGAAGATAAGCCCAAAAGTATTAGGCGGTAGGGGCCCGAAAACGCCGGTAGGGACTATTAGGGGACTATTGTCTGAAGTTAGTACTGTGTCGGTGGTGGCACAGAGGTCCAATCCTGCGCTGCCTGTTGTGGCCCTCCACAGGTCTGTGACGTAGCGGCGTGATTGATTACCGGGAGGGCAGGGATCTGTGGGTGAAGTGAACTGTGTAGCCCCGGAGTTCACACCCGGTATGGGGCCCTGGGGCTGGGCCCTGTTGGAGTTTCCCTGCTTCGGGGGAATGGGCTGTCCATAAATGTCTGTCTTAGATCTGCATTCTGAGGACCAGTGAAAACCCTTCTTACAGCGAGGGCATTTCGTGGCAGGGGCTCCTGGACTATTAGTACTAGGCCCTGTTGGGTTTTGGATCTGAATTTGAGTCTGATTTTGGCTCTTCTGGGGGGCAGGCTCGGGGAAAAATGTCCAGGTTGGTTACAGTTGTAACAAAGGCGATTAGGGGGCGCGCCGGCTGTGGGGGGCATAAAATTTTGTAAGGCGGCACCAATGGCAAGTCCGAAAGCATGGGCAGAGCCGATGCCGGAGCAGAGGCGAACATAGTCACAGAGCTCTCCTTGGCGATAGGGGCGGATGGCATTTTGGCAAGCGGGGTTGGCATTTTCATAAGCTAGGTGTTTGACGAAAGCGTTTTCACTTTCGCCCGCGCCAAAGAGCCTCTCAGCTAATTCTTGTAAACGACTTATGAAATCACTGTATGGCTCGTCTGGGCCCTGTCTTATTTTTTGCAAGAGAGGTGGTTGCAGTGCCCTTTTGTGGAAGGCGCCTCCATGCTTTTAAGACCCGCGGACTGGATCTGGGTTAGAAGTCCGGGGGAAATTGAGCTTGCTTTTCATTGCTATGATAGGGGGCGGAGCCAAGAAACTTGAGAATGGTCCAATTTTTAGAGGAGGATTTTCGCATATTGCGCTGAACAAACTGTTTAGCGGTGTCTTCATATTCGCTTTTCCAAAGAATAAAGTCACCTCCACTTAGCGCTGCCTTCGCTAGAAAGAACCAATCATTGGGCGTGAGCCAGCGCTCACTAAGATTTTCAATTAGGGCGAGGGAAAAGGGAGCTGTGGGCCCGTAGTGTGTTACAGCAGATTTGACCTTTTCTAATGTTTTAAGGCTAAGTTTCTTGTATGTGTGGGAATAAGTTTGGGGGGCCGCAGTATCTCTTGTCCTGGGCTCTGTTTCGTCTATATCAGAAGGGGAGCTGTCAGAGTCCTCGGGGTTGTCGCTATCAGGAAGTGGGGTAGCTGCAGCCGCAGCTGAACTATCTATGTTCTCGGTCCTATCTGGGCGAGTCTGGGATCTAGTAACAGGGAATGGTAAAGTCTCGTGGGGAGGGGGACTGATCGTAAGAACGGAGAGCTCATTGGCAATGGTTTTAATATCTCGGATGAAAGTGAGGGTTTCCTGAAGGAGAGGCTTTGGAAACGGAGGAGTGAATGCGGCGGTGGCCGCCAGGGGCAAGGTAGTGGGTGCCTTGCACGCCGCGGGTGAAATGGCAGACGCGCCATGCGCTGAAGGCAAAATGGCAGCGGCAGGTGCGTGAGAGGTACTATAAGGAGGCGGTTTGAATGGCGGAAGGACTGCCGCCACGAGTGGTGGCCAGTCAGGATTCTTGTAGCGAGCGGCCTCGTCCTCTAATTCTGCCTGTTCAGAGGGGTCTAACTGGTCGCCGGGGTCCTGGGAATTGGGGGGTGGAGCAGAGGAATAGAACTCCTGAAGGGGAGGGTACAGAGAAGGGACTTGAGGGTCTGTATCTATCTGGATGGAGACAGAAGGGCAATTTGAAGGCGCTTGTGAGGGGGGGTCGCGAAAGCGAGTCAGCATGAGCGCCGGGGAGGCCGTGAACTGAGGGGGCTTTTGAGGGGGCCGGGGAGTGACTGCGGAGAATTTCTTGCCCTTCTTTACAAAGGCGCTGTATGTCAGGGGAGTTATTGTGGTTTTTAAGGATGTCTGTTATGAGGTTATAATAGTTAAAGGCAGTTATAGGGATGGTCTCGGGACCAAAAACTTTATAATAGTCATTTAGACAATCGCCTATACGGTGCCAGACGCGGGAGTCAATGCTACCCTCCTGAGGAAACCATGGGCAGATTTTAAAAACGAAAGTGAAAAAGGAATTCAAATCTTTTTTACGAACTCTTATCTTGCGCACCTTGAGGGACTCTTTTAATTGACCAACGAATAAATCACGTTGTGAGCATGCCTGTCCCATGGTTGGGTCTTACCTTTGAGATGCCGCTGTCGGGGAACGGGGGTCGTCAGGGAATGCCGGCCCGCGGTCGAGTAGTCGCGGTGAGCCGGGCGAAACGCTGCGATCGAAGGGGACAGCGGTCCGCACAGGCCATCAGCGGGGCCCCACGTTGGGCGCCACTTGCCTCGGCCCGCGAGGCAGTCAACGGGGTCCGCCGATATACCTGCAACGGATGAAAAGGGATGGGACAGGAGGCGCGAAAGAACGACAGCAAGACAAAGGATTCTGATCAAGCTGCAAATTTATTTCAAAATGGAGGGAGTTATATAGAGGAGGGCAGTGAAGGAAATGCAGTGGATAGGTGGCTTCAAAAGCGTGCTCTAGCCTGCGATTGGCGGGGGGGTGCAAGGCGGGCGCGTGATCGAGGCACTGATTGGTGTGCCACCTGTATGTCCAGGAGGGGGGAGTTCTATGGCTCCTGACCGCAGCATTCAGGCACAGCCTTCAGGTCTGATTGAATCAGCCTGTTTCAGGCTTATCCCAGCCCCCAACACAACCTAGGCTCGGGAACCCGAGAGCCCCTGATCCAGGGCCCGGAATTCAGGATCCAGGCTCGCCGTTCGGGCCGGGCGCCAGCGGAAGCCGTTACATTGAGATTTTGAAAAATCTGGCGCCGGACTCCGGCTCGTAGCGCGGGTGGGGCGTCGGACAGCGCACTGGGTGCGGGCTGGGGAGGTGGGGAGGGCTGGGGACAGGGCTGGCGGGGCTGGGCCGTCCTGGGCTCGCGGACTCCTCGCCCACCGCCCGAACGCACCGCCCCCAGAGCAGACGGCAGTCGGGCGTTAACTGTCTAGCGCCCTGGGGTCAGCGGGTCATGATTCCAATACCGATCCCGCCGCGCCCCTGCTCGGATCCGGGGACAGGTTTCCTAAACAAAGAAAACCAACAACTCTGTGTGCCCCAGTTTCCCTTCCTGGATACGGTCCCGAAGGCCCTCTCGCGGAGTGGACGGCCCAGCTCCGCCAGGGCCCCAGACCTCGGGTGTCCGGGGAAGGGGCGAGGGTTGGGGCTCGGCTGCAGCCATCGCCGTACCGCCCGCTCAGCGCCAAAATTTGAAAATTGCCAACGCCTCCAAACTGCGGCCGCGGAGGGGGAGCCTGGGCCCCACCCACGGGAAGCGCGAGGCTTTCTGGGACTTGAAGTGCAGTCCCCGGGGGTCTCGCGGGGGGCGGGGTGCTGCGGACCAGAGCTGAGGAGCAGGTCCGGGAGTACGGGAGCCGACTCCGTTTAGCGGCGGGGGAAATGGGCCCAGGCCTGTCCGCGCAGCCGGGCAGGGAGCGCAGGTGCCAAGAGGGGCCGGCGTGGTGGGCGGCAGCGTGGTGGGCGGCTTGGCAGGCGAGTCGCGCAGTGGCCCCCGGGGCGGTGGTCTGGAGGGGTTTGCAACTACCACATCTGGGAGGTGGAAGCTAAGGTAGGCGAGCCCACGACGCCCCCAAACCTCAATCATATTCTCCCCTCTGGCCCTGCCTCCTGTAGTGTCATTTATAAATTTATATTTTGATTTAAACACCAGCAGTCTTAAATATTTTATATTTCTACCTACAGGAGAGAAAAAACAGTAGGTCCACAGACACGAAGTAATTTTCCAGAAGACAGCATAGTCACAGTCTAGCCAGAGACTCCCTCGCTCCCGGCCCTCGGCTTCGGGTGTTCAGGACAGGTGAGTGCCCTTCCCCGGTGGATTGCCAGGGGCCCCTGACGGAGGCTGAGCCAGGTGCCGCGGGGTGATATGTGGAGAGGAGGGGTTCTGGCGGAGAACACCTGGCAAGTTCCAGGACAACAGAAACGAAGGGCGGTGATTCTCGACTGGCGGTGATTTCCCCCCCAGGTGATGTGGAGCTGTGCCTGCAGACATTTTTGGTTGTCCCAGCAGGAGGCAGGGATGGTGCTTGCTGGCATCCAGCCGTGTGTATGTGCAGGGGTGGGGTGGGGGGGGTGGGGGGAGCTGAGCGGAGATGCTGCTCCACATCCCACCAGGGACGGACGGCCCTCCGCCACCGAGGATGGGACCCAAATGTGCACCGTGACCGACCCTGCTGTATCAATTTGCTTTTCTTTTGGACATTTAATATAAGCGGAATCATACAGTATGTGGCCTTTGTGTCTGGTTTCTTTCGCTGAGTGTATTTTTTCTGGATCGAACATAACGGCATAACATTAGTTGCAGGTGTACAACCTAATGATTCGATATTTCCGTATATTGGGAAATGATCACCACCTTAAGTCTAGTTAACATCCATACATAGTTGCAGTTTTTTTCTTGTGGTGAGAACTTTAAAGATCTACTTTGTTAGCAACCTTCAAATACAAAACATTGTTAATTATAGCCCCATGCTGTACATCACGTCCCCATGACTTACTTATCTTATAACTGGGAGTTTGTGCCCCCTTCATCCAGTTTGTGCCCGCCCCCATCTGTTTTCTGTGTCTATGAGCTTGGTTTTTAATTTTTAAATTATTTTCAGATTCCAGGTATAAGTGAGAGATCACTGAGCATGTTTTTAAGTGTTCTTCACCACAATAAGAGATAGGTAGGTGATATGAGTGGGGAAACTGAAACACTGTAAAGAAACCCAGTGTCACACCGTGACGGAGTTGGGATTTTGGAGGCCAAAGGTTTGGCTCTGGACTTCGCGCCTCCCACTAGCTGTTTTATGAATAGCTAGTAACACCCAGGGAAATGGAGCTGGAGTTGCCCCTCCGCCAACCCCGCCAGAACTACAACTCCCGGCATCCCCCGCGAGGCGCTCAGCCGGACTACAAATCCCAGTCTGCCTTGAGTCGGCGGCTGCGGGCGGCGGGCGCCATCTTTGTCGGCGGCGCGGATTGAATGAGCCCGCCGAGACGCGGCTGCCATCCGGAGCCGCCCGGGCCCTGAGCCGCCGCCACCGTCGCCACCACCGCCACCACCACTACCACCATCACCATGGCCACGCCGCTGGCCGGCCGTGTGGGCGGGCCCGCCACGCCACTGTCGCCCACACGCCTGTCGAGGTTGCAGGAGAAAGAGGAGCTGCGCGAGCTCAATGACCGCCTGGCGCACTACATCGACCGAGTCCGCGCGCTGGAGCTGGAGAACGACCGGCTCCTCCTCAAGATCTCTGAGCGGGAGGAGGTGACCACGCGCGAGGTAGGTACGGCTCCGGCCTCCGGGGAGGTCTATCGACGGGTCCCCAGGGGACTTGGGGGTTCGTGAGCTAGGTGTGCATGCCGGGGCGGGCCCCGCCCATCGAGGGGTTTTTGGGTATCCCCTAGGGGTGCAGTTTTGGGCAGAACCATTCTCTGAGGGCTCCCCAGGGGATCTGGGGGCCCCACTGTGCGACAGGTGGAGATAGGGCTGGCTCCGTCCATCCAGGGATTCGAGGAAATCTGGGATCCCTTGAGTGGAGGGGGTGTGAGCCAGGCGAGACTCCGCCCCTAAAGGTTGTGGGGAGTCTCTCCGGTTGTGTTTGGGTTTTCGGGCGTCCTGGGAGAAAATTTGAGGGCGGTTCTTTGGTCTCCGAGAAAATGGGGAAACTGAGGCTTACTTGAGGGACTCTGAGGAGGGGCAGGAGGGTCCCTAGGCGACTCACGTGGTCACTTCTCCGTGGAATTTTGCAAGGGTCCTGTGATGAGTCCTGGGAAATTCCGAGGCTGGGTGGGGGTTGGTCAGTAGGCGCCATCTCCTACCCAGGCCTGGGGTGGGGTCCGAGGGGAGGGGTCTGATACCTGGGGGCGGGGGTGTCAGGCAGGAAATTTTGGAGGCCTACGGTTGTCCCCACACCCTGATGACTCTTGGGCGCGAGCCAGGTAGGCCCTGACTCCCCGTCCCCCAAAGAGGATGTGAGGGGAGGAGAAGTCCTTAGGTCTTGGAGAACCAGTGGGCTTCACTGCAGACTGAGGGCGAGGGCTCCGGGTAAACCTCGTCCACCTAGGATGATGTAGGGGTCTGTTGGCTCAAAGGGTTCTTCAGTGGGGTCTGTCCCAGGCTGGGGACTGTGGTGGCCTACCCAGACCCACCCCTCCTTTTCTCCCTCCCACTGGTCCTGTCCCAACTCAGGGTTGGTTCCCCAGAGTAAGAGGGGAGTGCCTCTTGCTTCCCTCCTGGGCATGGTGGGAAAGCCAGATCCTCTGAGCCTCGAGGTCCCCATCAGGAGCATGGACCAAGTGACAGACTTAAGTGAAGAGAGGAGCTGGGGGGGTCATTTCTGGGAGTCACTTGTCCTCTGTGTGACCTTGGGTCTCCCTCTTTCGTAAAGTGGAAATAATAATACTCACCGTTTGGGCTTGTTTGTGGAGCCAAGATGAGTTAATGTTGGTTTTGTAAAAGAAGGAGAATAGAATACAGGACAGGTTCCCGGTGGAAGCACTTGTTTGGGTTCTGGATTCTGTTGTCCCTGTTTAACAGTTTGGGGACAGGGACTCCCTCAGAAAGCGGAGCTTGGGTGTTGGGAGGGGAAAACCATCTGGTGGTTGGTGGTGGTGTTCTGAGTTGCTTGGGATTGGATTCAAACTCAGGGTCCAAACTCTGCTTTTAATCTGTGTGACCTTGGGCAGGTCACTCAGCCAGTTGGAGCCTCAGTTTTATATCTGTTCAGTGGGACTAGAATTGTCCCACCCAGATATTGGCCACCTGCCTTAGCAGGGCAAGGAGCCTCAGGTTGCCAGCCCAGTTTCTCCCTGTGGGGCTGGTCAGCGCCTCATACATGAGCTGGTTCCTTGTCTCATCCCTCAGCCCCAAGTTGCCCCACCTGCAAATGGGGTGAGACTCCACACTGACTTTTGGGGGTGCTGAACCTAGTGGGCTCTGTGGAGGGCGTGGTCCCGACCCCTGTCTGTCTGGATGTGGCTTATTTCTCAGCTGCTGAGGCTTGCTGGAATGCAAGCTAACATAAAACACCTGGGAGCAAGGGCTACCTGTGGGGGTAAGCCTGCCCCACAAAAGGGGTGGCACTTTAGGTTATGACAGATGTGTTCACAGCTGGAGCCAGGGAGTTTTATGTAGCTTGTTCTCTGCTGCTTAGGGGGTGAGATGATAAACACTGGTCAGTGGAGGGAGCTGATTCGTGACCCACGGGGATCTGGAGCAGCTGGTGTGGGGTGGTCAGTGGGATGTAAGGAGGCAGTGACCTGCAGATGGCCTTGGGCAACAGTGGGGCCCAGGCTTCAGGCTGTGAGGGGCCAGGCAGAGGCGTTAGGTGGGGAGCAGCCTCAGCTCAGGCTGGTGGGAAGTGGGCTGTGCTAGGAGAGGCGTGGACGTGTCATGCTGAGGAGCGTGCCTGTTACCTGTACGGTGTCATCTCACTGGGGTGATCCTGTCCAACAGGGGACACTGGGCAATGTCTGGGGACATTTCTGGTTGTTATGCCTGGGAGTGCTCCTGGCATCAAGTGGGTGGGGCCAGGGACGCTGGTTGGCACCCCCCAGTGCCCTGGGTGGCCCCAAGTGCCTGTAGTGTCAAGGCTGAGAAGCCACTTAAGGAACCCTTTGAAGATGCCATTTAAAATGTCAGAAGCGTACCCAAGCAATTCAGGTGCCCGAGGTAAAACCAGAGCTCCCCTACCCCCCTCGGCGGGTGCCCATCTTGGCTGTTTGGGCCAGAGACGCTCCTTCACACCCGCCAACCCGCAGACCCGGCCATGTGTGCATTCCAGCCTTTCCCATTGGACTTCAGCTTGATACTGCTGGCCGAGTGGGCGTTACTGGGTGAACAGCCACTGCAGATATCACTGGAGGGGTTCTGGAAGTGGGGGGCGCTGGGGCTGGCCACATTCCTGTTTGAGAAGGATTGTGGGCCAGGGAGGGGTGGTTCTTCAGGGAGCCTCTCCAGCCTGGTATTAAGTTCCTCTCAGCTTCAGTTTCTTTTCTCTTACCTGCCCAGGTGTCCTATTGCTGCCCGGAGCGGGTGCATTGTGCTCCCCAAATGGACACAGGGGTTAGGGGCTGGCTCCTGGAGCTTGGGAGGACTAGCTGCCACTTGGGATGATGGGACTTGTGCCCACGCTCAAGGGCCCGTGTTTGGGTTTTACCCGCAGGGACACAGGCAATGGAAAAAGGCCACTTCGGGTCATCTGTCCACACACACATGCACACCCCGCCCCGGGCAACACGTGCTTACACATTTGTCAGAGTTTCTCGTGTCTGGCACTTGTGCAAACCATGAAAAAAGGCCCCTGTTGTTTCTCCCGCTGTGGTGCCCGGGCTCAGGGCACAGGTGCAGGAGAGTGGGGCCTGCCAGGAGAGCACCTGTCAGTGGGCTGAGAGAGTCTTCGGGGTTGTCTACTCGTCTTTCTCTGGACAAGACTTTCCCAAATTGTCCCAGTGCCGTGGACCAGGGTCAGCAGATGTTTTCTGAAGGGGGCCAGAGTCATTTTCAGCCCCGGCCGGCCGGTCTCAGCCATGACCACTCAACTGGGCCTTTATAGTGGGAAGGCTGCCAGGACGACTCGGAGGAATGGGGCTGGCTGCGTGCCAGTAAAGCTTTCTACAGCCTGAGAGGGGGTTCATGTAATTGCCCGTGTCACAAAGTAGCTTCCTTTTTTTTTTTTTTCTTCCTTCAGCCACTTAAAAATGTGAAAACCATCCTGGACTTGCAGGCTAGACAGAGAGAGGCAGCAGGCTGGAGTTCCAGCCCACAGGCCCGAGTTTGCAGACCTGCTAGAGATCACCGCCTTAAGAATTCCACAAGTAGAACGAAGTGCTTTAAACAGGATGCTGAGGCGAGCCAGGACCTTGGAGCGGGGCCTGCCATCGGGGCACTCGTTTTGGGCATGGAATTTAATGGGGACGCCAAAGCCTCAGTCATGGAGATGGATGATACATATATTTAATTACTCAACCTTAGTTTTAGATTTATAAAAAGAACAGCCAAGGAAGAACAGAGTTCCTGTGCACCCCAACCCCGTTTTTGCTGTTAACATCTTACATTAGTGTTTCTCAGGCCCACCT